AGCTGACTCAGGGAGAAGGAGGAAAGGAGAAGGAGAAGGAAGAGAGAGAAAGAGGAAGGAAAAAAAAGAGGGGAGCCCCGACCTTGCCACACTGCTGCTGCCACTACTGCTGAGGAGGAGAAGTAGGAGAGCACCGGGAGGTCAAGGAAACGTGGCCAAGCCCAGGCCGAAGCTGAGCCTACTCCACGGCGGCTAGAGCTCCAAGAGAGCAGGCCGGAGCCCAGAGGAAGGCCGCGCAACAGAGGAGACCACAGAAGAGAAGATATTACTTCTTAATTTTTTTAAAAAATAACTTTTTAAAATAACTTTTTTTCCTTTTTCTTTTTTTAAAAAGTGTCCCCGGATTCTTTGAAAAAAATCTGGTAACCTTACACTACCCTGGAGTGGTTGTTCTCCACTCCAGGCATGTGGTGAAGGCAGACAGGATTGTGTGGCAGCCTCCATTGGCTGAGATGATTTGCAGAATGAAAGAAAGGACGCTCACCTTTGGCCACCTCAAAAGGATGCACATCAAAAGCCCAGCATCCAATTCATTTCGCCAACATCTTCTCTTTGATAATTATTGAATGGAATTTCTTTCCTCACTGGAGAATGGCAAAAAAACCCCCACCAATGACACATGCACACAGGAGAAATGTTTGATACAGCACTAATAGGAACTTACATATGTATTATTACTGGGCTAAGTGTTGGGTTTGGGGGAGACACTGTTTTTACAGTTGTGTAATATACTGACCAACAAGTCATCCAGTCCGCTGAGTTACATTTGTTGAACATATTTCAGGGTCGGTATGCAGATCTCTTCTTCAAAGACCTTATTGCTTATTGATTGTGAGCAACTAGACTTATTATAACCTGGTTTTTGAAGGACTTCAAAGGGGCATCCTAATCAAACTGTAACAGTTTGGCAACTGGCCCTAACAGAGAAATCGACCGACAAAATATGGCTCATTAAGGAACAGAGATACAGAGGCTTATTTGCTGGCACTGTTTTATTGATTACATAAATAAGGAAAAATCAATCCTGAACTTTCTCAAACAACCAGACTTCTTTGGTTGGTCTGGGTAAATCATATTCTTCACTTTGGACTGATGACTGTGTATTCTTATGCTGTATTTTCGCTATATCCCTCACATATTTTTGTGAAGAGGTGTGTATTATTCTCAATCAGTTACTTTAAAAAAACATACTGGGGTTAAAACCTAGATCTTAAGACCAGATCTATCTCTTGGAAGAATGCAGGATCATAGAACTGGATCATAGCTCAATCCACTGGTCAGTGTCTGAAATTGTCAAACCCCTCTTGCCATGAAGAACTTTCCCCTAATGTTCAACCAGAATGTGTCTTCCTGTATTGTCAGCCCATAAGATCTAGTCCTGTCCATGTCTTTGTGTAAATGTTGGTTGGTTATTGCATCCACACTCATGTCGGCACAGTCACCCAATGCTTCTTCAACTTGATGTTTCATTTTATTGACAATGGTGGTCTGCTTGGATCATACAGATGTACCTACCTATGTTTGCTTTTGTGAATCATTTTCATTTCATTTCATGGTGCGTGTGTGAACAACATAAAAATTAAAAGATAAAAAACCCAAACCCATAAAATAAGCATGTAAAATAAATGCAGTTACATAGGGTTAAGTAGCAAAGTCCAGGTCATGAAAGCATAATTCCAGATTTTTCAGGTTTGTGACGACAACTGCCTTGATAGTTCTGTTGTTCATGTAATAAAGGAATGCCAAGTCATATAGCAAACCTAGACAGCATCTTAAAAAGCAGAGACATCACCTTGGCAACAAAGGTCCATATAGTTAAAGCTATGGTTTTCCCAGTAGTGATGTATGGAAGTGAGAGCTGGACCATAAAGAAGGCTGATCGCTGAAGAATTGATGCTTTTGAATTATGGTGCTGGAGGAGACTCTTGAGAGTCCCATGGACTGCAAGAAGATCAAACCTCTCCATTCTGAAGGCAATTCGCCCTGAGTGCTCACTGCAAGGACAGATCCTGAAGCTGAGGCTCCAATACTTTGGCCACCTCATGAGAAAAGAAGACTCCCTGGAAAAGACCCTGAAGTTGGAAAAGATGGAGGGCACAAGGAGAAGGGGACGACAGAGGATGAGATGGTTGGACAGTGTTCTTGAAGCTACCAGCATGAGTTTGACCAAACTGCGGGAGGCAGTGGAAGACAGGAGTGCCTGGCATGCTCTGGTCCATGGGGTCATGAAGAGTCAGACACGACTAAATGACTAAACAACAATCCTTGTCAAAATGTCATATTATATGTAATTTTCTTCATTATAGCTATATTCCACAGTGAGTTTTACCAAGAGTCCTATGTAAGATTTTGAGCTGTTTTTCATTGAAATGCAGTAACTATTTGAGCTGTGAATACCATATGTAACTCCAGTTCTTTTGACAATATATTGACATTTGTACCATCAAAAATATTCAGTAAGATTAACACCATTCAAAAAAATATTAAAAGTATATGCTGAAGCAGGAGCCCACTGTAGAAGCTCACTTGATTAAGTTTTATTCAGACAGACCATCTTCTTTCTCAAAGTGAGTCTAGTTCATGAAAGCTTATGATATAATACAGGCATAGGCAAACATGGCCCTCCAGATGTTCTGGGACTACAACTCCCATCATCCATAGCTAATAGGACCAGTGTTCAGGGATGATAGGAGTTGTAGTCCCAAAAACATCTGGAGGGTCGAGTTTGCCTATGCCTGGTATAATAGGTGCATTAACTCTATGAGGAGTCACAAGATTTATTGTTAGTTTTACTACAAAATAAACTAGCATGGTCAGTCCTTGGGCACAACTGCAGCAGAAGTTGGCTGTGTGCAGCACCGATTCGCTTAAATCAGTGCCATCAATTAAGCACTCTCCATCTCCTCAAATTAGAATTCCCCCTACATATTACATTGTTTCTACTTTTTAAAAAAGAAAGGGCAAACAAACATTCAATTTTATGAATGGATTTCCAATGCTTTATAAATTTGTCTTTTTAAAAAAGAGAGATTGGGAGGATGGAAGGATAGCTCACTCAAAGCATAGGAGAAAGACGTAAGCATGAGGACATTAGCAACTGAATGTTCAATTGGTGTACCGGTGCACACAGCAAGTGAGATGTACAGATGAAGAAGTGTACATCCTTTCACGCAAATACTGTGTAGTAGTGTTGTTGTTTAGTCGTTTAGTCGTGTCCAACTCTTCGTGACCCCATGGAGCAGAGCACGCCAGGCACTCCTGTCTTCCACTGCCTCCCGCAGTTTGGTCAAACTCATGCTGGTAGCTTCAAGAACACTGTCCAACCATCTCATCCTCTGTCGTCCCCTTCTCCTTGTGCCCTCCATCTTTTCCAACTTCAGGGTCTTTTCCAGGGAGTCTTCTCCTCTCATGAGGTGGCCAAATTACTGGAGCCTCAGCTTCACAATCTGTCCTTCCAGTGAGCACTCAGGGCTGATTTCCTTAAGAATGGATAGGTTTGATCTTCTTGCAGTCCATGGGACTCTCAAGAGTCTCCTCCAGCACCATAATTCAATACTGTGTAGTAGTAGTTTCTACCTATGACACTGTTGGTGGAGGGAGGCTATATTGAAGTAGAACTCAAAGTCCTATTTGCAAGGGCATGTAAGATATTGTATTGCTTTGCATGCACATTTACTCCCTTTAAATGTAGCAATGCATCAGGCTCTTCCCTCCTTCTAACAAAGTCACACCCATGCACACTGACACATAAATAAATCTGATCGCATTCCACTCTGCATACTTGCCCACAATTTAGAGCACTCTTAGAACTTGTTATATTTTTATGCCAGGATAAGCAAGTATACAATGTTAAGTTGAGGGCAATTTGTGCTGAAGCCATGACAATGATTCAATAAAAGCCAAACAACGCAGGGCAAACAGATAAAAAAAATTGCCAGTCTAAGCTTTTCTTTTTTTTAAAAAAAGTCCTGACTGCAGATAGCTCTTGCCTGGTGCCTTGAAGCAGTAGAATCGTAGTATCATAAAATAATTAAATGAAAAGGGGCAGAACAATGTATACCATCTTGAGTTCCTTTGGAGAAAAAGGATATAAATGCAATTAAAACAAACAAACCAAAAACAGATTTATGGTGCTACAATTCTCCACCACCACCACCACCCTTTTTTTTTTTTTTTTTTTTGCTGCAGAAGACTAAAATGTTAATCCAGAAAGGATTAATCCCTTTGTTAATCCAGAAAGGTTTCTGAATATTTTTGCAGGGTACTGGGAGATCAATAAATAGAGGGGGCTGTTCAATGCAAGAAGCAGAGCACGCTCTGGTGTCCAAAAATCTGTTTTTGTTGCAGTAGAATAAAGCAATCAGCTTGTGGTCAATGGCTGCTCCTTGCACCTCATATGTGCCACCTGCTGGTATGAGTGGAACATTGACTTTTCCTTTGGCCTCCTGGTTGAAAAGCTATCTAAAAATAGCTCTCTCAGAATGTTTCAAAGAAGCAGGGTGGTGCACACTGGGTGAAAGGGAAGGGAAATGAATTCAAAGCAGCCTGCCAAGGATAAGGGTTGCTTGTGGAGTATATCTCAAAGACTTGAGACCTTTCAACAATAAAGATTCTCAAAGGTCTAGTGGTTAGAGCATTAGACCTGGATTCAAGTGACTTTCCCAGTTACTGAAGGGGAAGACTCTCAGTCTGAAACCGGAAGAGCTACTGCCATCTGAGCGAGATGATTTCAAATGGTGGCTGGATCTCATGGTCCTTCATTGTTGGAGCACTTCCATCACCACCTGAAGCAAGGTGCCACCACTACCAAAGCCTTGATTTCTGGGGTTGCACAGTGGCAGCTTCTGGCAAGATTTTGCAAGAGTTCTGTGAGATCTTGCTGGAAGCCCCCATCATGATGTCTCCTTACTTCTCTGGCAGCGGCAACAAGAGCAGGCAGGGCACCTGGGAATCCCCTGGGATTCTGCCGACCAAGTCCTTCTCATGGGTGGCCCAGCCCTGGCCATAGCTCAGTGATGGAGCATCTGCTTTGCATGCAGAAAGTCCTGGGTTCAGTTTCCAGCATCTCCAGATACGGCTGGTGAGAACTCCCTGTCTGAAACCCAGGAGAGACACTGCTGGTCAGTGTGGATGCTTTACAGTGCAGACCATTGACTGAACTAGATGAAGCAATGGTCTGACTCAGTGTAAGTCAGCTTCACAATGCTGGAAGTTGCTTCAAACGGACTTATTGAAGCAGTGTAGAGGAAAATCAATACAGAAAATTCAAAACTTGTTAAAATTCAGCTTTGGCAAGAAGGGAAGGGTGAATTCTGTCTCTTGCTCAGTTTTTCTGCTTTCAGATTTTCTCCTCCACTGTAGCTCCTTTTAAATGTTTTTAATTGGAATTTTAGATTATTTTAGCTGTTGCTTTTGCTCTGTTTTTGTGTTTAAATTGTGCATCTCTTTGCTTCCCTGGGCTCCTTGAGGAGGAAGGATAAAATCAACCAATAAAATCAATCAATAATCTCCTGCTAAAAGCCCAGATTGGGGGGATGTGTGTGTGTGTGTGTGTGTGTGTGTGTAGTGAGTGAGTGTTATTAAGAAAACAGCAAAGGGGAAATGGCCCACTGCAATCACACAGCAGTGTATCTTTATTGGCTAGCCCACCACTGTGGGTCATTATGTGGATTTCAGAGAAGGAAAGGTGTGTGTCTCCTGAGTTCTTTGGAGGAAAGGGCAGGCGGAAAAGTTTAGTCAAGAGGGTGAAAAAAAAAATGGGGCAAAACCAGTCACCCAGTGAACTCCACTCCAAGATTCTTAGCTATGAAAAGGTTTGTCGGCTTGAGTACCAGTGTACATACGTTCCCGCCTTGTTTCAATATTTATATCTGCATGCTGTTTCCAACTGGTGCAAGACGTTGTCAATTTGGTCATTCCGTTCTCTCCTCTGCTGCCCTGTCACAGCTGAAAGATTTAAAAAATGAACTCATCACATATCCCTTATTTCGTGCAAAATGTAAGTGATCGCTCCCTCGCCTTGCCACCTTACGCCACCCTGACTGAACATGCCCCTACATGGCCTTCGGTCTCCCAGGCAGGAGAGGATTATGCGATGTTAACTGGATACCTTTGCATTCTGAGCCTCTTCCTTCATTTCCGCCTTCCTCCTCAATTCTTTCCCTCCCCTCCCTCTCAGAGAACTGGTGCTCAGGACTTTTTGGGGTGAAACAGCTCCCCAAAAGCTCCGACTTGCACTCCCCACCACTCCCTTCAAAGACAAATCAAAGCAAAAGCCGATCTTGCCAGATATCAGAGGTGAAAAGCGGTGGGTCAGAGCTGGCAGCCAGGATATGGATTTAATCTGCTGTCCAAATAAGTGAAGCAAGCATTTATGGTTGCCTCCACATGGTCACTATTTTGTGGGAAGGATTTTGGTGCATACTGGACTTTTTCGTATGCATGTTTAAAGCGGACTAAAAGTTCTCTCACCGGAGAAATGTTGGAGGGTATGGAATCATGCGACCCCCTGAGCCGAGGAGATAAGTAACTATTCAACCTTTCGAAGACATCTGAAGGCAGCCCTGTTTAGGGAAGGGGTATCTTTTTTAATGTTTAATGTTTTATTATGATGATGAAACAGGACGTCCCAATTTTTTTTATCGGAGAAATGTTGGAGGGTATGTAATGGGAAGGTAAAGAAACACTCCGCAAACAGATCAGGATGGATACAGGTTGAATGCTCATTGTTGTATAACCACCTGCTGAAATAAATCAGAACGAATGTGTGAGAAAGGACTGATCTAATCTATAAGCTTTCTACAAGCAGATGAGGATAAAAAAATAGCATAAGACTATATGAAGAGCCTGCAGGATCAGGCCAATGGCCAGTCAAATCCAGCATCCTTTTTTCCCACAGTGACCAAACAGGTGCCTTTGGGAAACCCGCAAACAGGCACAAGAGCCCTCTTCCTTCCTATGGTTTACAGCTGTTATAGAGTCCCAGATGCCTCCCATATTTCTCCCAACAAAGGATTCAAGATTGAATCTGTAGGTTGCTCTCTTCTCAGTTGGAGAGACATCATAGTGCAGTGGTTAGAGCAGGGGTGACCAAACTGCTACCCTCCAACTCCCACCAGCCCCAGCCAACATAGCCAATGGTCAGGGATGATGGGAGTGGAAGTTCAACAACATCTGGTGGGTATGATAATAGGGGAACAAAAGTGAGTCCACATATGTTATGTTCATAAATGGAGAGCTTCAAAACCAAGCGACTCTTCAGCTGTGTAGAGTTGCCACACCTCCAAGTCTGACCTGACCTAGGTTTGACTGCCCCCCCACTTCAGGTGGCAGGTGGAGGGCTTGAACCCCCAGGTGGGTGAGAGGGCCTTTCAAAAGATAATAGTAAAACATTGTTAAAAAGACTGTGCATACTGCTTGCGAGATTCAGCCCAGCTGCCTGCAAATTATACAATGGACACATATTAAAAGTTGTAGGGGTGTGTGTGTGTGTGTGTGTGTGAGAGAGAGAGAGAGAGAGAGAGAGAGAGAGAGAGAGAGAGAGAGGACTCCTTGGATGATGAAACTTTGTGTGAGTTGTATCCTGTGCGTATCAGAAAAACATATTCCCTGTTTAGGGAAGTTTTTAATGACTGATGTTTTAATGTATTTTTAATCTTTTGTTGGAAACTGCCCAGAGTGGATGGGGAGTGGGCGGGGTATAAATAAATTTATTATTATTATTATTATTATTATACCAGAAAGCCTCTGCTTAGCTGGGAAGTGCATTGGATGAACTTGGGCCAATCACTACCTCTCTGTTTACCCTGCCTTGCAAGGTTGTTTTTGAAGGTTGAAATGGGAGGGGGATGGAAAAGACTCATCTTGAGCTGCTTGGAGCAAATGTGGGATAAAACAAAAAAGCACTGAATGAACTCATAGTAGGTACACAGGGTGGTATTCAGTGAAGTTTTACTCAGCGTAGGCCCACTGGAATTAATGAACTTATGTTAGGGCTGTTAAATTCAGTGGGCAGCCATTCACCAGCCTTTCTGGAATCTTTCCCAGCCTTACCTGGAGATGCTGGGGATTGAACCCAGGAGCTCTACCTCTCAGCTACAGCCCTTCTTGGGGGTATGTAGTGCTGTGCTACCCCTCGCTCCTGATGTATGTTCCCTTCCTTGCTATTTACCGTATTGGGGGGTGGGAATCACATCCTAAACATAAGAGGGAGAGCTGGAGCTCAGTGTTTGAGCATTGCTTTGCATGCAGATCCGATCCTTGGCATCTCCAGCTTGGACTGGGGCAGACCTCAGTCTGCAATCCTGGGCAGCTGCTGCCAGTCAGTGTAGGCAATATGGAGCTAGATGGACCAGTGGTCTGGCTCTGTATAAAGCAGCTCCCTTCATTCCTGTGATTCACTTCTGGGTTTGTGCCAGAAGGTGGACCAGTGGCTTGGGAGTCTCTTACATGGATATGCCTTTACAATGCAGACATTCCCTAAACCACAGGAGTGATAATCTCTTGTTTTTCCCACAGTCGCCATAAAAAAAAAGCTTTGTGGAGAGCTTGATCCATAAGCATGACTACACCTCGCACAAATTTGCATGGGGAAAACTGGAAATCCCACCCATAGGCATGTTCAGAGTGCATTCTTGGCAAAAATGATTCATACGTCACTGTGGCTGGGTTGCATGCATTTGGCATTAAGGGAATCCAGGACATGGGATGAGCCTTAAAACAACAACCCAACCCCCACCCCAGCAACCTTAAAACGAAACTCAGAGGTGAAATTCAATGCAGTAATGCAAAGATAAAAATCATCCACAAAACAGAGCTTGGAAGGTGAAGTATCACCTGCCTTTATCCAGTTACCAGGCCCCTGGCTGAATATGAATTGTGGGGCTTGGCAAGCAGTGTGGTTCAAATCACAGAGAGCCAGTGTAGGGTAATGGTTAGCATGTCAGATTAGGACCTGGGAGAGCAGGGTTCAAATCCCCACTCAGCCATGAAACTCGACAAGGTGCAGTGCCGGATTTACTTATAAGCTAAACAAGCTATAGCTTAGGGCCCCACTCTCTTGCCCCCCCCCAAAAAAAATTTAAAGGGGAAAAACCTGGATGTACATTTCCAAAATATAAGATAAAAAACAAATAACATAAAACCTACATACAGCAACAGTGTTTTGTGTTGTGTGGGCTCCTATTTGTTATGTGCAAATGGCTTTAGATACCTATTAGGTCCATAACTTACCATACAGCATATATTCAACACCAAAAACAGTGACAATTTGTTGTTTACAAAGGACAGGTGGACATATAAAGGGCCCCATTACCTTCAGTAGCTTAGGGCCTCATCAAACCTAAATCCGACCCTGCCAAGGTGACCTAGACCAGTCACTGCCTCTCAGCCTAACCTACCTCACAGGGTGGTTGAGGGGATGAAATAGGGGTGTGAGGACAACCATGTATACACCATCAATAGGAGCCAACTCCTAGGGGCCAAGGTCCCTTTGCCTACCCCCTCAATAAAATATTTGAGGAGGCTGCCCCAAAGTTGATGCTCATTGCCATTCAAATGTTATGTGTGCATGTCTCATCTTGTGATCGATTATTTGGAGTGGGGCTGACCTTTTCCCCAATATTTTATTTAAGTTGGCACCACCTTGAGCTCCTTGGAGGAGAAAGGTATAAATGCAATCAATCAATCAATCAATCAATCAATCAATATGAAGAGCCAAGGTGGTCTCCAGTAAGTGACTTGGCGCTAGAAATGGTGTGTATTTGTGTGGGCACGCACTGTATTGTGACTTTAGGCAATTTGCATCCGTGGCACCATCTCGGCCACTGCTTGGGTTCAGATACCCACCCACCCCTTTAGAATCTCCCATCCTCTCATTCTCAGATCGAGTGATTTCACAGGGGTGCAACGAGGCTTCATGCAGCAGGACAGTGTTCATCTCTTCCTGCTCAAAGATAGAGCAGCGGTCCCTCAAAGGGCATCACCGTTCATTGGGAGAAAAGGCTCAGTGCTAGAACACCCACCATGTTCAATCCCAGGTTCAATGCGAGGGCAGGGCAGTGGGGAAACCAGCCCGAAACCTTGGGGAACTACTGCCGGACAGTGTCAGCAAAATTGTACTAGCTTTGTCTAACCTGCTACAAAGCAGGAGGAGCACGTGAAGCTGCTTTCTATCGGACTCAGTCCGGTCAACACTGACTGGCAGCGGCGCTCCAGGGTTCCAGGCAGAATTAGAACCCAGGACTTCCTGCGAGCCAGACAAACGCTCTGCCACCACTGCGTCTCAGATGTCCTTATTAAGGGCGCTTTACCTGCCCCAGCAGGGCAGCCGGAGACTTCTTTCCGCAGCAGGGACCGCGGTGGCTGCGTTTGCCTCGACTGCTTGGCTCGCTGCCCTGCAATGCTTTGCCAGCTGCGGAGGGAGCCCCCGTCCCTTGGCAAGGGAAGGTGGGCGGGGGGGGGGGGAGAAGGCAGGAGGCGTGCCCGCGTGCCTGTTGTGTGACGCGCCAGGCACCGGAGCTATAAAGCACCTGCAGCGGAGCCCGGGAAGCTTCAGAAGAGGCTCTTTGCAGCTCTGGCCAGGGAGAGCTCAGCTTTCTGCCCATTAAAGGATTAAGTTCGCCACAATGGTAAACAATCCCTCCTGTTTCTTTTCCCTTGCAATCACCCTTTGCGTCCTGCTGGAAGAAGGTGAGAGAATCAACAGGAATTTTTTTTTCTCCTCCGTCTTTTTTGCTGTTCTGATGTTATTTTAATTTTTTGCATTGGTTTTAAAAATCGGCATCCCCTGCGCACTTTGCAAACGAAGCTAGCTTCAGCGGGGAGAGCATCTGATTTGCAGGGGGCGGGCGGGCGGGGGGGGGAGCAGAAGATCCCAGGTTCTATACCCGGTATCTCCAGAGAGGGGGCTGGGGAAAGCTCCCTCCCTGCCTTAAACTCTGGAGAGGTGCTGCTGCTGGTCAGTGGAGGCACTATTGAGCTGGATGGACCGATGTTCTGAACCGCTATAAGGCAGGATCATAGATTGTAGCTCCACGGGGCATTTGCCTGTAGCTCAGTGGCAGAACATCTGCTTTGCATGCAGAAGGTCCCAAGGCTCAGTCCGCAGCATCTCCCCTGTCTGAAACCCCGGGGACTTGCTGCCAATCAGAGTAGATGATACGGACCTGGATGGACGTGTAATCTGACTCTTTCTAAGGCAACTTCCCCATGGATTGTGGCCCAGTTAGTTCTGCTCAAAGTAGACCCATTAATGAACCTGTTACTCATGCCTATTAACTTCGATGGGTCTACTCTGAGTAGAACTAGCATTGGCTGCAACCCCGCCCCCAGATTTCCCTTTTTCCTTTTAGCAGTCCGCCCTCTCTAACTCTGACAGCGGCTCCTGCTCCGTCTCTGTTATTCTCGCAACTTCCCGAGCAAATTGGCTTGGAGAGCAACAGGCAGCGAAGTCAACCTGTCCCGCCTTGCAGGGATGCCTTGCCGCTGCCGCTGTGACATGCCAGCAGCGAGCGAGACCGAAACAGCTCCCTTAGGGCTTTGCCAAGAGAGGTGGCGAAATCGTAACATATCCCTCCCCCCTTTTCTTGGAAAGAGTTTTTGCTCTCATTTTCTCTCTTTGTGTGCATTCTCCTCCCCCCTTGCTTGCCAAAAATAACGAAAGGGAGGGAGTGCTCTGTGCATTTGGGAGAATGCAAAAAACGACCCTTGGCACGCCAATAATTTGCACACATGTTCTATGGTTGGCAAAGGAGCCAGGACAATGATGGTGGCGGTGGTGATGATGATGATGATGATTGCAGTAAAAATAATACTTACATATTCTCTAAATGTTATTCCTGCATTGCAGGGGGTTAGACTAGATGGCCATTGGGCCCCTCCCAAGTCTGTGATTCTATGCTCACCTTAAGTCATATGCTGTAGGCATATGCTGGGCAATAGCTACTGCTACTGCTGTTGATTGTTTGCCAATGTGCTTGCTTCCAGTATGCTCTCAATGTGGGTCTCCTCCGAGGTTTTCACCTGGCTTCAGTTTTCTTCTCACTGAGCTCTTCAGAATTGCAGTATGCAAACCGTTGTCAGCAACAGCAGAACATTTTTACAACCCCCGCAGCCCTAATCTGTAAGGCCTTGGCGGCTATAAAATGGCTAAAATAGAAATGCTCCTCTCAACTAGGTGGCAGGCTAATTGCTCTGTTTACATACCATGCTGCATTCCTGGTGCTTCCAGTCTGAAGAGTTCAGGGACTGATCCCTATGCCTGTCATTTTCTCCTCTGGCAGGCCTGGGCCTCCCTCCGGCAGAGCCTCACCTGGCAGCAGGCAGCGGCAGGCACCTGAGGACCAAGCGCTGCTCCTGCCTCAACTGGATGGACAAAGAGTGTGTTTACTTCTGTCACCTTGATATTATCTGGATCAACACACCAGGGTGAGTATTGCGGGGGTGGGGTGGGGGACAGGGGACTGCAGCACAGAGGGAAGATTGCTAGGTCTGAGCTAGCGGCACAGTTAGATCCATTGGGACATAGGAAACTGCCTTAACACTGACTTGGACTCCTGGTCCATCTAGCTCAGTATTGACTGGCAGCAGCTCTCTGCAGTATTATGCAAGAAATCTTCCCCAGCCTCTCCAGGAGATTGATTCCAACACCTTCTGCATGCAAAGCAGATGGGCTACCCTTTTAGACACTGGACTTAATGGTCTTATGGCTTCTCTCCATTCCTCCCATCTTACGTTGGTCATCCATCTCATGCTTCTAAGTGTGGTAGGTCAATCCTGCTGCATCTTGGGGTCCTGTCTCTTGGACTTCAGCATGTGGGGGTAGGGCTGGACTGCTGCCCTAATGTCCTAGGCACCCCTGGCTAGAGCAGGACAAGTGACCGGCTCTCCAAGGTTTCAGGCAGAGGACATTTCCAACCCTACCTGGCGATGCCGGGAATTGAACCTGGACCCTTCTGCATGCACCCAAAAGCATGTGTTTTACCTCTGAGCCACCGTCCTTCTCTCTTGCAACAGCCACAGATATTTTATGTGGCAGCTGCTCCCCAGTTGGTGTTTCTAAAGAGCTGAGGTGGGCTGGCCTTTCGATCCAGCGTTTGGTTGGGAAGGAGACTTGCCCCTTGCATGATACAACAGAGATCTGGGCAGCATTCAAGCAATCTCTCTTGCAAGCAGCTTAAGATCCGAGCCAAAGAGACGACTGGCTCAGGTGTGGTTCTAATTATGCCTGCTAACGTGCGGTCTTGAGTAACGACTCACTCTGAAAAAGAGCATGCCATTCTCAAACGTGTTTGCGGAGGAAACATGACAAGCCTAACAGGAGGCTGTATTTAGATGGTGGAGAATGACAGAGCAACCCTGTCTTTAAGCATCTTCTGCCTTTTGTTAGAATTCACAATAGATTTTTATATTGTTAAAAACACACCTCCGACGCACGTTCTGCCTGTAAGGAGCATGTGAACAAGCCTTGCTGTGCAGCTGGAACAGTGAGGCCTCTCTGCTGACATGACACAGTGTCCAGAGCGCCAGAGATCCGAGTTCAAATCCACCCCTGCCTAGGAAGCCCAGCCTCCCTCAAAGGGCTGTTGTGAGGAATGGGGATGGGTAAAGGGAGAAAAGAGAGGAGACTCTGAATGGAGCTTGCTTGGTGACCACAGGCAAGGCACCATCTCTTACTTTAATGCCTGTCACAGGGTTTTTATGAAGTTCAAATGTGTGCATGTGTGGAGAGGGGGGGGCAAGAGAACCATGTATGCGCTCTTGCGCTCCAGAGAGGAAAAGCAGGATATAAATATAAATCTGGTGTGTAGAGGTTTGAGGTTGGATTACACTTTGATCCCATTAAAAATAATGGAGTTCAAGTTATCCCGAATGCACTTTGTACATTTATTTCAATAGGAACCAAAGGCACCTGACTTTGGCTGCAAGCCTACATCCCCCTTACCTGGGAGTAAGTGCCATTGACCTCAGTGGAGCTTACTTCTGAGTAGCCATGCTCATAGCACTGACAGCCATTGTTTGGTGAGGTCCCATTATACCTTCCTCCTTAATATGGGCAATCCCCAAATCTTATATTGTTAGGCAAGGACGACAAGGGCATCAACCCACTTGCAGCCCGCTGCTTGCCTGTGGAAATAAAGGCCGATAGAGTGAGAATGGGAGGGTGAGATGGCATGGCTTTTATCACATGGCAACTGCAAACGAGACTTGTTATTGTCAAGTTTGCTTGGCTTCCGGCCAGGCCCACACCATAAACCTTCCTTTCTGATAAAGGATAGAAGTTAACAATTTGTTTTTTCCTAATCAGCCACTCCACGCCCTACGGTCTGGGTAATACACAAAGGCGTCGGAAGAGATCACTCAGCAGGTGCGAGTGCTCGCATTCAAAGGACAGTGTTTGTGCGACCTTCTGCCATGGCAAGCCTTGGTAAGTGTTCAGATGTGTCCCTATCCTTAGACCAGCCTTTCTCAACTCAGGGCCTCCGTATGTTCTTATCTCTAACACCCATGGCTAATGATCAGGGATGATGGGGATCTCAACTCAATGATATTTGAGTTTGAATGTAATGCTAAACTATGGTTAACCTAGACCAATATTTATAAAGCAACTACAGACCTTAGTTAATGCACATCTGTTAACCATAGATCTGCCAATTTTGCTTCTTTATGTTTTTCATTTTTCCCAGTTGTAGATTAAGTTTCCCCATACTTCTGCAGTGATATTTTTTTAAAAAAACAACTCATGAAAATTCACCAGCACATTTCTCCCAATAAACCCATTTTATCTGTGCAATTTTGCCCAATACATACTTTGGCAAGGCAATATCTCCTCATATAATGCCCTTTTGTATGCTATTTTCACCAATCTAAGCATTTTTATGCATACTTTGTCCACATTACTTTTCTGGAAAACTTCACTGCAAAATTCAGAAAAGTGCAAATTTCAAAAGGTGACCATTGTTTTGATTCACATACTGCTTCAGAAGGTATTGAATAAGTGACCTTCGCCTTTAAAAGTGAACTGAATCAACTTTCACTCCATTTCTATCCTTAGTTAATAATCCTTAGTTAAATCACAGGGCTGAGTTCATCCAATTAGCTTATCAGGGATACCAACTTGAATAAAATATCGGGGGGGGGGGAGGACAGGTAAGCTCCTCCCCACATAATTGATCCCATGACACAGTGCATGCACACCATTTGAATGAGAAGGCCCATCAACTTTAGGGGTCCCAACCCCCTCAAATATTTTATTGAGGGCCCTGAAGACCCCTTGGCCCCTAGGAGTTGGCTCCTATGAGTGTTACAAACCATGATTTAGTTAACCATAGTTAAAGCATGGCTTAGTTTTACTGGAGAGCTACAGGTTCACCACCAAGGGCTAAGCTCAGTATTGAACATGCAAAAGGTTATGAATTGTCTGAAAAGAGGCCTGTGTGTCTGTTCACAAACAAACTCTGGAGAGAGGAAGGAGTGAGAATGTGTGTTACTTTACAGGGGAGAGTTGGGCTGCAACTTTTTGTCTTTGTGTTGTGGGGCTTGGAAGAGGGGTGGTTAGGGTTTGCAAATTAGTCTCTTTGGCAACAGATCCAGCTCCCTCTTTTCCTCTCTCCCTCCTCAGGGGCATAAGTAGAGGCTGCTGGATTGGGCCAGTGGCCCAACTACTCTATCATCCTTTCTCACCACGGCCAGCCCCTAACTAAACCAGCCCAGGCCTTCTCAGCCTTTAGAATGACTCTGCCTTCTTTCTTTTTGTAAAAAGGAGTGACTATCTTAGACTCTGAACCCCTCGCTGTGCAACAGAGACACACCTGCTCAGTCTATAAGCCGTAAATGGAGAGTTGCATAACGTAAGGATGTGTTCAGGTCATGGAAAGGGAAAGCAGGGTCACCGTGTCGTTCTATCGTCTTCTTAGAAAACCTAGGAGTAATAAATCTGGCTGTAAAAATTTCTGAGAACGGGTTAGTTGCCAAAATAAAAAAACAAAACATAGCAAAACAGAAAATCTGTTTTTAACCCTAAACTGGTGCTCTCCTGCCGCCCCACCCCAGCCTGTCAGGGAAGACAAGGTGAGCGAAGATGTATATCAGGAACGAGGGAGGAATAAAGCTCTACATCGTGAACAAGGGTGGGAAGTAGAGACAACATGGGGGGCGGGGACACTGCCAAGGAGGTGGCAGATCCAGCCTCCAAAAAGGGTATCGCAACTGTCGCTGGCATTATGCCATTGGTAGTGGACAATGCATTCCTTGGAGGCCAGATCTGCTGTCTCTGTGAATCTTTTCACCTACAGGTGGTTGCCTCAAGGGTGGCTAGGCCATTACTGAACTTAAGAAATGCTGATATTGGGTGTTATCCAGCTAAGTTCTATTCAGAGTAGACCTATTGGAACTAATAGACCTAAGTTAGTCTTGCCCCATTGTTTAGTGGGGATTTGAACCATGGTCTCTCAGGTCCTGGTTTCTACTCACCATGGCTCACCACTGGTCCACTCTGAATAGGGTTAGCGTGGTTTGCAGGGCGCTGCCTTTTAAAAATAAAATAATTATCTGGACTCCTTTGAACACTATCTCATAAGATATGCACCAACTTGTTTCAACTCTGCAGGGATTTCAGAAATCCACGGCTTACCACGAACACAGGACTGCTGGTAAAACTTCTCCAGAGCCGTAGTGCGAAGCCCCGCAAGACAAACTTCTGAAAGTTCTCAGGTAAAGGTCCTATATAAATGCGCTCTCTCTCTCTCTCTCTCTCTATTTTGTGTTCACTCTGCTTCCAGAGATGCTTGGGCGCATCTATAAATGCATGACTTCAAAATGCATGGAAACAAATGTTCAGCTGTTGTGGCTTCCCCTCACCTTTGAAGCCCGCAGGGAATTGTATGGCCACAGACACACTAAAGCAGACCACACAAAGAATAGAAGCGTGAGCGTTAAAACACAATGCTTGTTTAAAATACAATATAATACAAAAGGTGACACACACACATATTTAAAATACTGCTTTCTGAAAACACAACACACAAATTACAATTGAAATGAAAATATCATCTTGTGAGACCTTTGTGCAGAAAGGAGAAACATGGCCACTGTTAGCTTATTTATATCAGCCAATAAATATTCCAGACACCATTCTGGGGTGCTTCCTCACAAAAGGGCAAAGTAGTCTGTTACATTCCTCTCTGTGAAAGTTACATGTAGTTTGGATGAATTTTCTGGTCACTCTTTGCTACATATCAATATCACTGTTACCAGGGTTCATTCATTGGGAAGCATGGAGGTAAATATAGCAGAGGCTCATCCATTAGGGCAAGTGAGGGACACAGAACATAAAAAGCTGCCTTTTACTGAGGCAGACCAATGGTCCATCCACTTCAGCATTGTCTACACTGACTGGCAGTGGCTCTCTGGGGTTTTAGGCAGAGGTCTCTCCCAGCCCTAGTTGGAGTTGCTTGGGATTCAACCTGAGACTTTCTGTATGCAAATTTCATGCTCTACCTCCAAGAGCAAATCAGGCACGTTGTCCTATCACTCTCTTTGATCTCTGCTAGCTCTAGCTGTCTGCTATATTTCTTCCATCCAGCCCAGAAGCTGGCACCAGCTGCCAACTGCCTCCTCCTTAGACTCAGGGTTGTCCTTGTAGAATTAAGCAGGGAGGAAGATGAAGAGTAAACTAACCCTACATAGCACAAATAGAAATGGAAAATGTCATTTTCCAAAGAGCTGTGCTGGGATGGGTAGGGATGAGATTCTGCTGGGTGTGATCAAATCTGAATGGGTTTGCACTGACTCAGACTAAGTTGACAAACTATATTTGGAAAAGCATCTAGGATTAATCTGAGTCAGTCTGATTAGAGTCCAGGGAAGCTCAGTCATCACTAAGGAGGACCTCTCCCCAATTTAACACTGAGACCCCTATAATCTATAGTGGAATATCTTGCTCCATTTTCTACAATTTTGGCTATGTTTCCATAGGCATTAAAACAAAACTGGGCAGAAACAGACCTAATTAAGGTTGCTCCTCTGCCTTTAGGAATGCCTTAGAAGGCAGAATTTCCCCAGGAATGAGTGTTCCCATCATAGGGCTTCAGGGCTTAGCAGAAGCCACAAATTGCAATTTTTGCAATCCTTAAAGCTGTGATGTGGAGTCTACCACTCACATCATCCTTAACCACTGGGAGTGCTGGTTGAGGCTGATAGGAGTTGGCAGTGCAACAACATCAGGAGGGCCATTGGTTCCTTATCCCTGCCTTAAAGCTACAACAGGGGCTCTCTGGACTGGGCCCGGCAAGTTCAAGGCCAGCTCCCCAAAGAGAATGCCAAGTGGCCATTGCACGAGGTGCTGACATTTTCATCTCTTCTGCTTTGTAGGGCGCCTTGCTCTTTCAAATGCCTCGTTCACCTGGAAGCAGCAGGACTCGCTGAGGACTTCCAAACTAGCACCACTTAAATGAGGGGAGACCATATGGAAGACAAAGCAAGAAGGGTGGGGGTGCTGTTCGCCTTCACCACGCAGAGTCCTGCCATTGCAAAGAATCTCCTACTCTGTGGGAAGTTGAAAGATTGGAGGACCATTGGAAGAGATGGAAAGAAATCCATGGAAACAGCTGCTGGAGAAAGGGGCAAGGAACCGTGGAGGCAGTAGCACAGCCCCCTTGGTACATCAGAGGTGATCCTAAAGAGACAATAGCCTCTCCTTTTTACTGCACCTTGGGAAGGTCTGTCCAGCTTGTTGGGACAAGAGAGGAGATCTTCTTCCTGGATACCAACAGGAACTCATAGCAGATCTCAGTGTAAAGAGCCAGCACTTTGGAGGAAGGCAAATGCAGTTACGGACTCCGTCGCCACATGTGGATCCTTCCAAACACCCCTACCTCAGGACCTAGTCTAGTCTGCTTCTCCTTTTCCCAACGTTTGACTTTAAACATAGTTTGGCTGGTTTTACCGACTGCTCCTTTTATTCCGGTTGTTGTTGCCTGCCTCACATCTGCCTCTACTTTCCTGCGCGACACGAAAAGGCGTGCATTGAATAGACATTCCTATTTCTGGTAATGAATTTGCTAAAAGTCTGTTATTGGTAACAACAACTCCCCCCCCCCATAAGTCAATTTAGTGTTGCCTAGTGACCATTGGGACTGGTATGGCAGGCACAAAGGAAGACATCAGTAGGTGGAGGGGAGTCAACTAATTCTACTGTTGTCTCAATCTTCCTCCTTTCTGAGTTTTACAAGGGCAAAAGGGAGGCTGAGGAACGGGCAGGCAGGCAGGGCCAGGGTCACCTTCTGGACTGGTTGTAAGAAAGACGACAGGTGGGCTTGGAGGAATCAATACTGAGATTGGTGGGGCAGTGTCCCATTTGCCTGGTTGGATCAGCCTGCTTTGCAGCAACTTAGCTCTACTCAGTTAATCTGAAATCTTGTTCTCAGCGAGTAACTTAAGCCTTGATGAAGTTGATGGCTCAAAAAAGCGGGGGGCAGGGGGTAGGACCAGAAAAGGATCAGCAAAGCTGGGGTGGAGGCAGGAGTTCAAAAGCACATCTTCATTGCACATTTAAACCAATTTAGCCATCACCACCCCAATTAAGAAGCCCCAGGAATAATAGCTGTGTGAGGGAACTGAGCCTTTGGTAGAGATCATTAGCCGTTTCACAGAACTACACACGAAGCTGCTCATGTTGAATCAGGGCATTATTTCATCCAGCCCTCTGCCGTTGGTGAGTGAAGGCTCTCCAAGGTCTCAGACAGATAACTTCTAAGTGTTGCTGTTTGAGATCCTTGAAGTGGAGAGGCCAGGCATTTGCAACACATACACTTCATTACGGAGTTGTTAGTTGCCTGTCAATTTCACTTGCACAGAGAAGAGAATTCTCAGACCACTTGTGTGTCTGTGTGTGAGCCTCCCAGTTCCACTGCTGCTCTTTAAAGACCTTGCACACAACTCTACAAGTTTAAGCAACATGCCCTGCATTAGCAAGTTCCACACTGCAAATGCTGAAATGGTTACAATCACAAAACTTGACTTTTGAAAAGCCCCTTCACTATAGGCATGAAACTGATCGTTAGTTTCAACCTGCCTGTCAATTTCGCATGACCTTCTCTGGGCTGCTTGAAGAGGTGGCTCAAATCGTGCTCAGGTAGCATTAACATCCCAAAAGTTTGCAGGAGCTTTCTTGTTTATAGTTCAGGGGTGCTTGTTCATTTCAGGGGTGTGGCCCTCCAAATGCTATTGGACTCCAACTCACAGCAGCCGCTGGGAGTTAATGGTTAGTGATAATGGGATTTGGGGTCCCAGCGACATCCAGAGAGCCACATGATTTTAGGTATGAAAAATATTTTAACTTGTCTTTCCTTAAAAATACAACAAATAACAGTAAAATACAGTAACAATAAAACACTAGCAAAATACAAGTAACAACAACAGATCACTGAGAGAAGTAACAGCAGATAAAGCCAATATTTCAGGGAGCTGACTAATGACTTGGCAGATCAAATGCCATCTGTAAAAGAGAGGTCTTCATGCATTGGCAGAAGGCCCTCAAAGAGGAAGAACGTTGCTCAGACACTCCTCAGATATCAGAAATCAGTGGAGTTTCAGTGAATTTTGTACACAATGAGGTGGGAACAGTGAATGGAGAACTCCATGGAAACTGAGAATCAAGGTCCATACACCCCTAACCAAAGGCTCTCTTTAGCCAAAGTCCCTGGGGGTTCTTCTTTGGAGCTGTGATGGTTTAAACTGGTTTAAATGTGTCATACAGATGTGCCCATAGTGAGGACCAGTTATTCAGCCAGGTTGGTGCACTGTAGAACTTGGGTTGAGGGGTTCCACAACAGAGGTCAATTTCATGTGCTAAAGTGGTCATAGCATTGCTTGGCTACATGACCAATTTGCTGTTTGGGCCATCTTTACTCTGTCGTTGCTTATCTTGCAACCTTTGCAGTGGCACTGTAAATGGCAGTGGTGGTGGTGGGTTGAATTATAAGGCAGACACACAACCATCTTGGCATGACTAAGTTGGCTTGGTTGTGGTGTTTATGTCCCACAATATCCTATGGATATATTATGGGTGGGCTAGAATGCTTCTGACAAGATTACTTTTAGCATAGCGTCCTGAGAGGGGGCCCTTATAAACACTGCATGGTCACTTGGTTTGGCAGTTCAGATCACATGAGGATAGTATCACTGGTAGGTTGGGGGATACATGGTGAGGGAACTGTTACTGTGCTCTCAAAACTGTTTGGAAATCTGAAGAAGCACAGATTTTATTAGAGGCAACTTCTTTTGTATTCAGTGAAACGACTGGCCTCCTTATAGGGGGAGCCTGTGGTCCTCCAGATGTTGGAGGATTACAGTTCCTATCATCCCTGACCATGGGGCACATTGGCTGGTGTCAATGAGAGTTAGAGACCAGCAACATGTGGAGGAGAGGACCACTGGTTCTCCACCTCTGCGTTAGAGCTGTCATATCCTGGGCTTTTAAGAAACCTCCAGTTTGAATTCATCCCAAGTTTTTTGACGTGCAGAAAATGCAATGCCAGGAAGAAACGGGTTTAGGCAGGAGAAGGAAAAGCCTTTTCTGCCAGCTTTCTGAATGAGACATGTTCTGCCTACATATTCAGGGAAACTATAGAGTAGATTCTTCTGGAACTTTGGACTGCGGCTTAGTGCTTCTTCCTGTCAAAAATAATTAAATCCTGCATATGGAGAAGTAGCACATCTGAGCTAAGTTTCTCCCTGATGTGCTAGCTTTCTGCATGGAGGACTTTTCAAAAAATGTAACCCTGTACATATAATAAGAAAATGAATCAGTCTTAAAACTATCACATAATCTCCTGCCCCACAAAACAATCAAATAAATGCATAGTTCTTCTCTTAGTCTGTCTACTGGGCCAGGACTGAGCACAGATTTATCAATGAACAGATCACTATATATATATATATATATTCAGGCAATTGGTGGTGAGGATAAAGACATTCAGTAGACAGTGTCTTTTGGAATGATGCAGGTCCCCTGCCAAATGGCTTAAAGTCAAATATCATCATTGCGTTTCCTTGATCCTATGGGAACAAGGCAATTCAGCCCCTGGCTAGTAGAATCCCCTCTACGCCTATTGCACCAGGCACTTTATTTACTATGCTCATGCACTGTAGCTTCTGTTATACAAAGCATGGATAACAAACAAACAAAGCCCACATTGAATTAATGCAAATGCATCAGTGCTCCAGATAAATGCATATTGGGGTTTGCGGTCTGGATGCTGTAGGCTTAACACATTAATGTTATGGTTTAAAGTCTGTCTGTTGATGCTGGGGTGTCTGTGTTGTAACCCGAGCATGAGCAAAATACTGTTCTTAAAATATGCTTCAGATCTAATGGCGAAGAGGGGTTTGGGAAGCCAGTCTGATGCATACGTCACATGTGAATCTTTAGATCACAATGCGACGGCATCTAAAATAAGAAGAGATCCATTTGTATTTGCACTTGAGAAGATTTTGTTTGGCCTCAAAGGATCTGCTGCTGTCTCGGGAAGTGGGAATGGTGCGCACAAAGGACAATGTCAAGCCTTTTCCTGTGCAGTGGTAGATCGATGCAATTTAAGTGACAGGTGAAAAGTTCTGTGTCCATAATGCATCTCTGTCTATGCAAACTCAATATGTAGCATCCCAATGTTTGGACATAAATGTACATATATTTATTTTTTTAACTTTTTAAATATAAAAAGCCCTGTAAAATACAAAGTTGTAATAAATGGAAAGGAAAAAAAAGCAGATTGTTTGTTCATTTAATTGCATTTTTATCCTGCCCTTCTTCCAACATGGAACCCAAGGTGACGGACATGTGGTTCCCCAGGAGTCGCCCATCCAGGTGCTGACCAAATTCTATAAGGTGCCTTCAGATGCTGGGAGCCTGGCTGTCCTCCTGCCTTACAGTATGGGGTGGGGATGGTATAGGTGGGAATATTGATGTGGGAGGGGAATGCTTTGTTTGTGAAGGGCCGTAGCTCAGTGGTATATCATCTGCCTTGCATGCAGAAGGTTCCAGGTTCAATTCCCGGAATCTCCAGGTAGGGTTGGGAGAGATTCCTGCCCGAAACCCTGGAGAGCCACTGCCAATCAATGTAGACCATGCTGAGATAGACGGATCATTGACCTGACTTGGTACACGGCAGCTTCCTATGTTCGTGCCTTCCACAGAAGTACCCCTGAATCAATAATCGTTAAGAAACTCAGATGGCTTTTGCTTCTGCAGCATCTCACAAGACCAGTTTGGGCTCTGGCCTTAATGCTGTAATGAAACCCCCAGCCGTGCTGTAGGAACTGGTGCCAGAAACCGGGGTTTGGCCTCTCAGTCCCACCCAAACAGTCCATGGTACCTCGGGTTAAAAATTAATTCATCCTGGAGGTCCGTTTTTAACCTGAAACTGTTCTTAATCTGAAGCACCACTTTAGCTAATGGGGCCTCCTGCTGCTGCCGTGCCGCCGCCGCATGATTTCTGTTCTCATCCTGAAGCAAAGTTCTTAACCCAAGGTACTATTTCTGGGTTAGCGGAGTCTGTAACCTGAAGTGTATATAACCTGAAGCATATGTAACCCGAGGTACCACTGTACTGAACTCACTGGGATTTCCCTCCTGAGAAGGCATATATATATATATAGAACTGCCCTTATGTGTTTGTGACTGAACCATGGGAAGACAGAGGCTTTTTGCATTGGTGGTTTCTGTTTCCTTAAGATAGGCCACCTTCTGGTTCTGGATGGGATTTTGCTGCCTTTAAAAGAGCAGGTATGCAGCTTGGAAGTACTCCTCTAATGCATCTTTGTTATGCTCATGAAATCTCTGTGACCTTCTCCTGCCATGCAATAACTCCAATATCTTTCCTATTTGCATTTTTAAGATCAGACCAAAGTCCCACCTAGCTAAGCATCCCATTCTAAATTGCCAACCACGTGTCCTTAGGAAGCTTGCAAACAGGACCTCAGTGTTACAGCACTCTCCCTACTTGTGAGAGTCAGCAATTAGAATTCAGAGGCATACGGTCTCCACCAGTGGAAGTAAAGCTTGGCATCATGGCTAGTTTGTTCTGGCTGTTCTGCAATGATTTCTTACCTCCTCACCAGAAGATTTCTGGCTACTGCCCTGGACTTTGCATTAAATGACCGCAAAAATGGCCCTCAAAGAAGATGGGCCTGATCTTCTTGATAGTCTTCCTGTGAGTTATAGCAACAGTTCAAAAGAACACAGAGCCTGCAGTGTGTATTAACTGCTGCAGTAACTCACCCTAGTAGTGCTTTTCCCTTTTGTATGGCAGGAGAAGTTGACGGATTGCATTACATCATGGCGATTAAAATGCCATCCTCTCCCATAGTTATCTCTCAAAGTTCATTATTAAAACCCAACAGTCTCGCTGCAGCCCAGTTCACAGGTGTGTTTGGAGGGGATGGGAGGGAAGTCGAGCAATTTAGAGAATTATCTCTGACCTTCAGAAACTCCATCAGCTGCTGTGGAGCTTCTTCCTATTAGCCTGTTAATGGTTAAGTTCTCCTGGATGTCATAAAGATTGCACTAACCAGAGGCTACAATAAAGCGCTGATCAACTCATCAAGTGAGTCAATATCCAAAAGTAATATTTGCCTCGGTAATAACGAGTCTCATAAAGCACCTTGCCCATGCAAAGAGATGATGAGAACGCTGTCGGCTTAGAATGCCAAGGGCATGCGTCAGTCATGCACACGCCCCACCTGCCCTGGCATCCTGAACTTTGTTTGATGGGGTGCACACTCGTTTTGGAACAAATGAGCAGCCAAAATGAACTGGTGCCATTCTCATGCATCAAGCGAATACCAAGAGTAGCAAATGGGAGTGAATGGGGTGGATGCTTATGGAAAGCCTTTTGCAGCGAGACCTATACATACTTTTCCATGTATAGGACTATGTTTTTTTCTTTAAAAATCATGCTAAAAGTGGGGGCCGTCTTATACATGGGTAGTGCATAGGGTGGACGTTTGATTGGTTGCTGCCGAGGCTGTCAGCGACTATTGTGCGTGTTATTGGTTGCTGCGTCAATGGGTGGTGTTGATTGGCTGACGCTCCGACAGTTGGGCAGGTGATTGGCAGCTTCTGCAGGCGATGGGACAGGTAGGAGGCGGGTTTTGTGATGCGTGTGGGGGAGCGATTTTTGGCAATCCCCCCTTAAAAAAGCTCAACAACCCTGAGTAATCCCCCCCTACAACACAAAAAAGCTCAACTACTCTGTGCAATCCTCCACAAAAAAGCTCCACAACTCTGTGCCATCTCCCCCCATTTTCTTAAATTTGAGTCACCCAAAATAGGGGGCATCTTATACAGATAGATAGAAAAGTATGGTATATATCCATCTTAGTCTTTAGATTACCATTTTTTAAAACCACACAACAGCAATCATGGTCTGTTTTAGAAGAGGGTTGGTTTTTTGGGAGGAGGTGGGTCCTCCAGATGTTTCTGGGCAACATTTCCCACTAGGAAGGTTAAATGACAAATGTATGGGAGGGCAAATTCGATAGATATAGTTGATATATAGATATAGGTCTCACTTGTATGCTCATGGGGTCTGAACTGGCAGCGATAGATTGGGAACAAGACTTTGGAGTCACAGTGGATAGCTCCCTGAAGATACTGAACCAGCACACAGCAGCTGCAATGAAGGCAAAATCTATGCAAGGAATCCTTAGGAAAGGAAAACTGCCCAAATCAGAATGTCGTCATGCAAATCTATGGTGTGACCGCATATGGAATACTGGGCACCGTTCTGGCTGCCTCCCCTCAAAATGGGTATTGAAGAGTTGAGAAAGGTTCAGAGAAGGGTAAGCAGAATGATCAAGAGGACGGAGCAGTTCCCCTACGAGGAAAAGCTTCTGAATTTGAGATTTATTTATTTATTAGTTTAGAGAAAAGGCAATTAAGAAGTTTATGAAATGATGCGTGGCATGGAGGAAGTGGCAAGAGAAAAGTTTCTCTCTCATACCACTACAGCTTATGAACATCCTGAAAGCTGGGAGAATCAGGACTGATAAAAGAACGTGCTTCTTCATGCAGTGCATAGTTAAATGATGGAACTCGCTATGGGAATAGGAAGCAGTGATGGTCACCAACTTGGATGGCTTTAAAAGTGGACTGGACAAATTCGTGGAGGAGAAGACTATCAATGGCTACAAACCATGATGTCTGTGCTTCTGCCTCCATGGTCAGAAGCGAGCAATGCATTCAAATACAACAGGAGGGCAGAGTACTCTTGTCCTCAGGCCCTGCTTGAAGGTTTCCCACAGGTATATGGGTGGCCACTATGAGAAGAGGGTGCTGGAATAGATAGGCCATGGGCCTCTTATCAGCCCCAGCCAGCATGACCAATAATGCATGTCCAATAACATCTGTCAGGCACTGTGGTGCTGTGGTCTAAACCACTGAGCCTCTTGGGCTTGCCGAGCGGAAGGTTGGCGGTTCGAATCCCCGCGACAGAGAGAGCTCACATTGCTCTGTCCCAGCTCCTGCCAATCTAGCAGTTCGAAAGCACACCAGTGCAAGTAGATAAATAGGTACTGCTGTGGCAGGAAGGCAAATGGTGTTTCCATATGCTCTGGTTTCTGTCACGGTGTCCCATTGTGCCAGAAGCGGTTTAATTATGCTGACCACATCACCCGGAAAGCCGTCTGTGGACAAACACTGGCTCCCTCGGCCTGAAAGCGAGAGGAGCGCCACAATCCCATAGTCACCTTTGACTGGACTTAACTGTCCAGGGGTCCTTTACCTACCTTTTACCTTACCCTTGGGTGAAGGTGTAGAGATGCAGGTGAGGGCAAGCTTCTGCATCCCTGTGTAGAAGAGAGAATTTCAATAGGTGAACTAATCATGCAAGTTGCACCTACCGAAATTCCATCTTCCACCAAACCCTTAAAGATGCAGGAGTCTTTTTCACCTAGTGACTCAGTTTGTGGCTTATGAATGACTAGACAATTTTTCTTGGAAATCCCATCCTGTTCTCAGCTGCATTTTTTCCTGTAAGTACGGAAAGATGGGGAAGCTGCCTGCTTTGTGCTTGACATACCCCATTGGTTGTTTTTAAAGGGAAGTCTTTTTAATTTTGTAGGAATCGGCAAAGAAATGTTTCCCCCCCTCCCATAAGGTGAAAAGAAGGATTTACCCAAAAAACAAAATCAGCAAGCACATCAACATCAGGCCCTTGACTCCTGCCTCCCCATTCTTTAATCAAAACTCAGGGGAAGTTGTCAGGTGGTAACACCTTCATGTAGCTTCTTTAGATCAGAAAACAAAGGCAGCAAAGCACTGGTTAAATGTTGAATGGAAAGAAAAACAGGCACGCTACCCGTGACCACCTTGCAGAATGCATTTACATGTTATTTTCACTAAAATATATGCTGGGGTTTTTTGCACGCTTTGGCACAGTATATGCATTCTTGTTCTACACATTACTCGACTGGAGAAATGTATTTCAAAATTTGGAGGAATGCAAATTTCGGGAGACGGCTTTGTTTTGCTTCCTGTATTGTTTTGGAAAGCACAAATTGGTTCAGCTTACTTTTAAATGCAAAATGAATCAAATTTAACCTGCATTCCCATTTGCAGGGGAAGAAACCCTTCAAAAAATTGGAGGTCAGGTTTTGGAACAGCACCAGGTATCTTCCAAGTAGCTACCCAAGGATGCCCCTTGATGCCAGGTCTGATCCTATGGAAGATGCTCAAGGGGCCCACTGGGCCGAAAGAGTGTTTACCGAAGGTTGAAAAATCTGAGAACTGCTATCTACCATATCTTAGTAGTACGACTCATGCAACATGTTGGCGACTAATATACACACAATAATTACCAAAATAATTATGCATTCTTTATCAAACTTCTGAGAAAAATACAAAAACTTATGCAAAGCCATAAAGACTTACGAACTACCCAACCTAAGATGAACTTATAATTTCTGATTTCAATGGATTTTTCAAGTGCTTAGCTCAGTCTTTTGTCTTCTTTATCTTTTCAGGTAAGTTCATGAAGATACCAACAAAAGATAAGTTCGAAGTTG